ATTGGAGGAGGCTATCAAGTTTAGTAAGGTGGGGTGTCCGAGAAAAAAAAAGAAGACCCCTAACGAGATGGATTGGCCAAGTGGCAGCATCGATGGACTCAAGCGTGGCAACAGTAGTGAAGCTGGCCCAGGATTGGGCAGTGTTTCGTTCTGCTGTGCATAAGGTTGCTATGTTTAGGTACCAACTCGATGGCACCTAACAACAACAACAACTATCAACACTCATGGAATCAGCTATCAAGAAATCAACATATTGCATTAGATATATCTGCTTCACAAGACCTCTTGAAAGACAAAGACATCAGTTTGAGGACTAAGATGTGCCAGACTCAAGCCATGGTATTTTCAATAACTTCATATTCATGTGAAATTTGAACAGTGAATAAGGAAGACCATAGAAGAATTGATACATTTGAGTTATGGTGTTGAAGAATACTAAAAGAGGCATGGACTGCCAAAAGAACAAACAAATCTGTGCTGGCAGAAGTACAGCCAGAATGCTCATAAGAAGTTAGGGTGGCTAGAGTGTTTCTCATACTTCGGATATATTATCAGGAGGGACCAGTCCCTGGAGAAGGACATAAATATAGGTAAAGAGTCACAGCGAAAAAGAGGAAGACCCCCAATATGGTGGATTGGTACAGTTGCAGCAGCAATGGGCTCAAGTATAACAATGATTGTGAGAATGGCTCAGAACCAGACAGTGCTTTGTTCTGTTGTGCATAAGGTTGCTATGAGCCAGAATAGACTTGACTGCATCTAACAACATTTAGTAGATCTCCCTTGGGATAAAACTTGGGAAGAGCAGAACCTTCACTGTCTTGTAGAGGTTTGGGTTAGGCAAGGCACGACAAAGAAAGCTTAATTCCAAATAATTGGCCTGGTAGATCTTTAATTATTTTCTACCTCTGTTCATAAATCATTCAAGAATCAAGGACAGCAGGGGTGCCACACTAAAAATGTCCTTGTGCCATTACCATGGGTGGGCTGACGAATGGATACTGAGCATGTCTAATAGGCCCATGTTAAATTTAAATTAGTATAACTTATCTTGTGTCACTGTAGGAAAAGTGCTACATTGGTAACTGCAAGATTAGCAGTTCAAATCCATCAGCTGCTCTTGGATACACTATATAGGGTTGATATGAGTTGGAACTGACTCAATAGCAAGCAACAATAACAACATCCTTTTATATTATCCAATTATAGCAATTGATAT